TTAGGTGTTGTATCTATAGTGGCATTCAGACAAGGATACCAGGAGAAGCTATACTCCAGAAAGATTACAAACCAGGTCCTTCAAGTTTGCAACTTCAAAAGTAAAGAAAGTAAAAAGACAGATGAGAAGTAACAATAAAATAATCAAAAAAGAAACTGAAATATCTGTTCAAACAGTTCCACAGATAAAGAATTATTGACTTTAAGTTTAAACTGTCAAGTTCACATTACTCAGAAGATCTACTAGGGCAAAATAAAGAGTTCTCGGGGGAAAATAGATGACTCTCAGAGGTGATAAATTAAGTTACAAAGTAACACCAAAAAAGACAAATATCTGAGATTTGCTTTGTACTGAAATCTAAAGATCAACCATGTCAGGCATGCCTGGGGCAGTGGGAAAGACATGCAAAAACAAGCCAAAAGAAATAACTCCACTGTCAAATAACGCTAGGTGGCTCCAAAAAAAGAACTTAAAGTAATTATCAATACACAAAACCCAAGTGGCAAAGAAACAAGAAAGGTTCAGCAATATTTAATGACAAATTCTGAACTATGGAAGAACAACATCAAATTACAGTCATTTGCAAAGATGTTTTAATATCCCATTAAAAACATGCTAATTCACCAGGAGTGAATTTTTCTTTTTTCCCACAATTTCATGTATACTACCTCAACATCTTAAAGCTATATTCTTTGTAGAGTGGGGGAGACGCAGCAATTCTTCCCAAGTGAGCACCTCCCATCCATTTCTAATCTGTACCACTCACCCCAGGAATTCACTTTCAGAACATTTTGCTACAGAAACTAGTTTTTATTCACTCTGATATATTTCTCAATGCAACCTGTATGTCACATAGACTTCTTTTTCCAAGAGGTGCTTTAACTCAATACAGATTCCAAGAAAACACCTCATTAGGCAGAAGTTAGATCAATTTCATATTAACTAGATTTTGAATTGTAATAAATCCCTTTTTTATTGAACATAATAGATGCTAAGTTTGCACATATACCTAATTCATCCACAATAAACTGATCTAGTTAAAGTTAGAACAAAATGCACATACATGAAAACTTTTAGCTATTATTATTAATTGGATTGCAATTTTTGCTGGTTTGTAATTTTTTTAAATAGTACATATATATTCAATTTCTTACATATACTTGCTCCAAAAGCTCCCATCTGAAGATTTCAGAGTACAAAAAACAAAAAAAAAAAAAAGGGTGACATGATATATGATTTCTTTATGCAAAACCTACTTCCATCTGTATTGTATCAGCTGACAATAATAATGTAGCATTAACCTCTTGCTTACAGGGGATCTTGCTGTACTGAGACAAGAAGATCCTTGAGAATATTAAGATTATTATTACAAAACCCAATCTGTGGTAGCCAGGACAGAAAACAAGTAAGTCAACAGACACAAATTTGTTTCAGCCACATTACAATTACAGGACCTCACCAATTCACTTAAATTAATCCCTCTGCCTACCTCAGCTTTATTCTACGGAACTTAAATGTTTCAGAATATAGCTGAACTCAATTTACAGCAAGTTAGGATATCCACTTGTCACTTGGTAAATATGAAATTTCTAAAAATGTTTAGTGAAGCATGGAAAGCCTGGTTCAGAACAACCTCTACAGAGCTTTTGCTGCCTAGTCTAAGTCTCAGAGATGACACATTTTTAAAAAAGCTAATTCCAGATGAACTGTCATTAAACATCAACCTTAAGCAAAAACTGTAGCCTCCTCTTTTCTAATACAACTGTTTTACATATTCTGTAACAACTCACCAATACTTTCCTGAATTGAAATATCAATTTTTTAAGCTTGAAAAAAAATCTATTTCTGTCATCTTTGAGAAATTATTCTAATTTAATATGTACCAAATCTTGCTTTGCAAAATAAGAAACAAAATCAGCTTCAATGTTGGAGGGGAATGGAAAGTGGGGGAGTGGGTCGTTGTGTATGTGTAAAAACTGAGTTTTGTACAAGACATTATATGAAACAATGTTTTCTTCTTTCCCCATTCAAAATTCAAAATCATGTTATAAAAAATTAAGTATGTTGAAATGTTTTAAATCATTGAAGCTGAAGAAACATAACCACAAATGTGTCTAAAACAAAATTAAACTCACAAAGCAAAAGGGAATATAAGCAGGATAGAAATCTAACTATCACGTGGACAGGAATTTATACAGCAGTTTCTGGTCTACTGAAATGGCATTTCTTCCTAAGCACACAGACTATTGTCAAAGGATATTCTGTTCTCTCAGGAAAATATATGAACAGGATGGATGGACAGAAAATAGAATGGAAATAAAGTTAAAAAACCGGTCAGAACTCTTCATCTAGCATCTTTATCTATACTAAGAGTGCTTTTTAAAGTAAGGAAAAAAATAGAAGGAATTTATGAGAGAGGTGTCAGACTAAACAACTGGCATATATCACGGAATTCAATGAGCAGTAACAAAAGAGCTGCTATTTTAGAAGCTGTTAATAGGAAATGCTAGGGATATTATACCTGAACTCATCTGCCCTTCTAGACAATATGAAGTCTTAAAGTGCAGGCTTGGAATTTTGCATGTGCAGAACAAGCCTATGAATACTCAATTACTTAGGGATTTATCTTCCTTAAAAAAAAAAAAAAAAAAAAACAAAAAAAACACCAAAAAGCTAGACAACCATGACGAGTAAGTGAGATTTTATGCAAGTGTTTTTTCCTACAAGCAAAAATAAGTGAGCACTAACCTAATATTGCTAAAAAGGCCATACAAAACTATGAATTTTCAGAACCTAAGATGGCATTAAAAAAAAGTTTCTTGAAAATAGGAATGACATTTGCTTTTACAATCCCCCCAAAAAAGTCCCAAGAAGTTCCCCTAACTGCTGGGACATTTCCAATATGGTCAAGTTTGGCCTTGAAGGAACACCAGCCAGCTCACTGAGTACTGGTGGGTGTATTCTATAAGGTCCCATGGGACTTGTCTCTGCATCTCAAATGTTCCTACACGTAGCCATAACCCTCCCTTTTTCCATTAGTTTCCAAATCACATCTTCACGCTCTTGCCATTAACCTTTTACTGATTAGAACATACTCAAGCTGGAAGAGTAAAGCTTTTCTGACTGAAACAGCTTATGTTCTAAGACAAAGGCATCAACACTTATTTTTAAGAAACAAAGCATTACTATTAATTCAAGACTTTCTATTTAGATTCTAGTGAATCTAAGGTATACAATAGCTGAACTCAAGTATTAAGTCCTCATATTGTTACTAATTACTGTTACTAATTAATTGTATAATATTATATCTACTAATATGCCACAAAACTCTCAGTATTTAGTTACTGCTGCAAATCCTGATAAGTCTTGATCAGTGTGCTGAAACTGAAGCTACTGCATCATGGCTTTCTTTTCACTTATGCCTGTTCCCAGCTATTGCCTTATAGAAAGACACATACAGTAGGAACAAACAACTGGCAAAATTTAACAGAGACTAAATTAATGGGATTTTGTTTTCATATTTTGTTTTCTTTCACACTCCTTTTAGTTTATGTGAATACAAATTGATGCAGTTCTAAAAGAAAAAAAGGAATAGGACTGCAAGTCAAACAGAAAAATCCTCAATAGTGTATTAGCTCAGATTTTATTACTGATTATCACGAAGGTTTAGAATGGCTATTAGAAAAAGGTAAGATTCTACCAAAAGCCATCAAATAACAGTAATGAAAACAAGGTATTTTTCACTTTTACTTTGCCATTAGCAAGTATATACTTTAAATATAAAGAAGCTGGTCTACAATCCATAGTAAACTGGAAGAGGCATCAGGAATGTGAAAATCATGACAAGTGCCCCAAACTAAAACCTGATTTTCTCGAAAATCAACCAAGATAAACTGGGGTTTGATGGCATAAATTTTGATTCTTTGCTTTTTCATCCGTGTATCATTTCAATAACTTTGTAAAAGCAGAAATAAATGAACATTTACCCAAACACTAAATATTGAAGGAAGACTAAAAAAAGAGTATCAGAAATCTACTAGGATCTTTAGCAGAAAGCACAAACTGAAATTTCAGTTATCAGTTGATATAGCTTTCTGAGATTTTAAGTATTTTGATATGGTAGCAGAGCATAAAAAACTCTTCATGTATTTAAGAATCTGAATTCATCCATAAAATTGCAGTCAGCACCGCTCATGTCCTATAAATAATTCAAATGAACCTATAAAACAAATTGTTTCTTCACTACTTTTTTTTCTCCTCTTTAATGACTTTTACTATTGTTCTCACAGGAAACTCTTACTGCAAATAATGAGAAAACTTGTTCTTGGCAAATGACTCAACTGGATCATGACAGGCTTAAAACAGTGCAGTTATAAATACAAAATGGCATATTCTTGGATCTGTGGTAAGCCACCACTTCATTTAAGTCTCCTTTTAGGATGGGGAAAAAGCCCAGGAAGATAAAACTCACACAGACTTTAATTAAAACAGAAATACCATTCAGATTTAAACATCCTGATTTGTGTGGAAATAAAATCCCAAACCAACAACTACTCCAGGGTTACTACCCTGCAGTCAATTTTTGTGAAAATGTGGAACTAGAAGAGAACTCTGAGTATAAATATTTGTTTTATAGCTGTAATGGAATTTTTCTTTCTGAAGAAAATTTATTTTAAATTTTAAAGTTTAAAAAAGTTTAAATTTATCCCCAGCCAAGATAACTTTAAAAAAAATTAATGAACTCAAAAAAACTTTATTAGTACATGTCCCACTACCTTCAGGAAAACCTTAATGTTTTAGAATAATAATCAAGTTTGAGCTGTCAAATAATCAGCTGGTTTATTGCATTTTTAAGAATAAACTGATATGGTTTTAAAGATGGAATTTTAAACTGAAATGTTAACTTATTCCTAGCCATAGTGTTAAACATTCAGTACAGTGAAAGCAAGTTTTCTTTTCCCTACAGAAAAAGTTCTTTATATAACAATGTGATGCCTTACCTCTAGGTCACAGCTGTATTCTGTGCCATCCAGAAGCATCACCTTACACTGCACAGTTTTGATTTTCTTTGGAGACTTCTGAGGAACGTTATCTATTTTAATTTCAGCTGTCTGCACTTCTTTTGTCTCCCTTTTTTCTTTTTCTTCTTGTTTTTCTTCCTTTTTCTCTGCAACTTCCTCTACTTCTGTTTCTTTACCATCTTCTTTGGAAGGCTATATAAAATACAGTTAAACAAACTCAGAAAGAAGGATTATTTTAAACTTGTTCATTCCTTTTATAAGCTACTAATAAATAAGTCAGTAACCATTCATTAAAGTTATGCACATACTGGAAACATAATAACCAGCATAAGCATTAAGGTCTTCTTTTAGGGACCAGATATTCTTGCTCTCAAAGCAGAGAAGGTGCCTTTTTTCCCCTTTCCTTGAAATGAGGTTTGGGTTTTTTTAATATGAGTTATTGGCTTTCTTCCAAAGAGAAACAAATTTATTAAGAAGCTCCAGGAATTATACTAAACTAAACCCCAGTGTTTATGAAATCCAAGTGATACAGAATCACAGAATGGTTGAGGCTGGAAGGGATCTCTTGAGATCTGGTCCAGTGCCCCAAGGGCCACAGAGGGCAATTTGCCCAGGACCATATCCACTTGGGTTTTGGATATTTTCATAGGGGAAGACTTCACAATATCTCTGGTCAATCTGTTGGATGTCTGACTCGCCCCTTTTACCACCCTAGGAGGCCTATCATCTGCACCAGCACCACCTGGCCATGTTCCTTCCCAAGCAAAGGTCCTATCACCATCAGAGTAAAAGATTTTCTTGCAATTTGAAATGTAATTCCATGGGTTTTATTTGGGTCTCTTGCCTTTAGTCATCTAACTGCCTACCACTGAGAAGGGTCTGGCTACGCTGCATTCCTTCCATTCAGGTACTAATACATATTGATAAGTTTCCCCTTCCTCCTTTTCTCTTCCTCAGGCTGACCAGTGCCAACTGTTTCAGCCTTTCCTCATACAAAACATTCTCTATGCACCTTCACCACCTTAGAATATGAATGTTAAGAACAGATGTGCAACTTCACAAAAAGCAGGACTGGAACCTAGCAACTGGAATATATGTCATTTTTTTCCCCAATATGATCTTAACAAAGCTTTACATTAATTAAATAATTCATTAATCAGGTTTCATTAAAATTACTCCAAAGTATCTATGAGCCTTCCCACACATACCTGTATTTCAGCACTACTAATGGAGTGCTTTTCTTTGTCACCTGCTTTAGCATTCTGTCGGTTTTCAGTTGCTTCTTCCAAGCTCTTTCTTGGCTGAGCCACCCCCTCTAGTGCCTGGCTTTCACTTTCTTCAACTACTTGCTCTTCCCCTGTGGCCTTTTTCTTGGGCTCATCTTTGGGCTCTGCCAAGGTGTATGACTTTTGTTTTTTAAGCCAAGGGGGAAGGAAACGAGAAATTCCCTTGCTTTCAGGTGAAGATTTTTCCTTCTTCTGGCTACTTGGACTACTTTGGTTAGTTGGTGCTGGGACAGAAGAATCTTGAGCTTCTCCAGAGAATGTTTCCTTGGACTTTTGATCTCCTGGAGTCTCTGATGCTTCTTCAGGCTTGTCCTTGGCTTTGTCTGGTCCCAGCTGCTCAGAATCCTTCTTTACTTCAGTCTCTGAACCAACTTCAGTTGTCATTATCACAACTGACACTAAAAGAAGCAACAATAAAAATAGTTTTAATATGCAGCATCACTACTTTTATTGACTAATTATTTGCAGTAATTTGTAGTAATTCATAAACTCTTGTAGATTATTAAACTTATTAGGGATAAAGAAATACTTCTTTTCAAATTTTGAGTTCACAAGTAAGACCAGTAAGCTAAAACTTAGTGCTCTGCAGATAAAAGATCTATGGGTTCTTTCTCCTTGGTAAGATTTCAAGTATGCTCACTGAAAGGCATTTGTTTTATTATAAGGTACTCCTAATGTTATTGGCCAAGATTATTTCAGAAGTAACTTCAGTTCTCTTTCTACTGAGCTCCTCAGCAGACCCAGAAAATTAATTTTCAGAAGAGCAACCACCTTCCCTAGTAAAACTGGTAAGTACAGCCTCCCTACTATTTGGTGACATTTACCAACTTAGAATAAATTATTGGAAGTGAAAGAGTAAGATTATCAAAGAACAGGACACAAGGAAGTTGAGCACGATAGTGAGTAAAAAAAATTGAGAAATTATAAGCCAGTGATATTACTGAAATTACTAATAATGCTGGGGAGCATACATTTTTAATTAAGCTAGGATTGGGTTTTAATAAGCAGTTTATACCAATCAACACAAAATCATATATAACTCTTATACTCTCATCACTTCTGCTTACTCTTCCTTCAGTGAAATTAAAGATAAATCACAATACTGTAACAACAGGACATGCAATAATAACCTTTCAACATAATATTAATGGTATTTTTGCAAAAAAAAAATTAACTAGAATAAACAAATGTTGTTATTTGTGTGGCACTGTACTGTGCTGTATTGCTTTAAAAGTGTAGTATAACTACTTTTTTCCAATTTATTGAAGTGAGCCAACATACATAAGCATACAAGGGTCCAACAAATGTTTATAATGGTTAGATTTCATTATTCATCATGGGTATTTACTTACAGTCCTCTGTAAACAATTAATTTTAAATTGATGGTCTGTTTCTCTGGCCTAAAGTTTTGCAGTAAGTTACAATCACATTTATATTTTTATAACATGGGAACCCTCTCCATTATGATTATCTTTACTGCATGCCATTAGAGGCAGGAGGCTCTTAGGTTCAGGACTCTTGCTGAATTCCACTGCTCTCACCCATGCCCAAAAAAGAGTCAAGAAGGTTATCAAGCTCAGGCTTGATGCAATTAACTTGCACAGCACTTTAAATTGCATTTGAAGCCAACTGAGAACTAGTTTAGACCACAAGACAGCAGCAACACTTTGCCTCCAGGTTTCCAAAGCACATCCACAGGCAGCCAGAACTAGTTAAACCAAACCAATCCTAATATGAAAGAAAGAAAAAAGGAAGCTAATAGAGACCTAAATATACAAGAAAAGCCATTCTGGCCAAAGAGATGAGCAACACTGAGCCAAAGGAAACACCATCTTGACAGTTACTAAGAAGCCTAGACATGGGAGCCTTGAACTGTCTACAGGCAAATTCACATTAAGCATCTTGAGACCAAAGTAGCTACAATGGTGTGTGGGGTTTTTTTTTTTTTGTTCATCACTTAACACTTCACTATCTAAAATCAAAGCATTCCCCAAGGGGGAATTAAATGAAAAGTTAGTACCTTTACTGCTACACTGGAGACTTCTGAATACATGTCTAGCTTAAATATTACATTGGAGCCATTTCTACTACTTTTTGTAAAACCCTTCAAGTTTCAATACTACTAATTAATACTATTTCAATACTACTAATTAAAGATTGTGATAAAGTATTAAACATTATGTAAGTACTATTTATCTCAGAGGTTACAGGCCTCTGAAAGGCAGTATTCCATTTCACTGTTGAGATGAAAGAATTTGCTATTTAAAGTATATATTAGTATGCAAGCTTTCAAGCTGCTATTAATCAAATTACATTTTGCTATTACCTTTGTATCTCACACAGAAATGCTCCTGTTCTTTCCAAATGCTAGCTATCTTATTAACATAATAATGTGAAACTTCATCAACAAAATGAAAAATGAACACTATCTAGAAACCAAGCTCAATTTTCCCTGAGAAAAATTGAAGATTCTGCTGATCAGAGAGTAACAATCCACACTGCTTAATAAATTCATAAGGGAGGTTTCATAAGTAACAGAGATGGTGGTAATTTTTTTTTTCACATATCTCTAAGAAAGAACCATTTTTTTCTCAGAAAGTAGCTAAAAGAATTTTCTAATACTTGATATACAATCTTCAAAGAATTTATAGGGAAGTCACCATATTTCCTGCACTTTTTTGTTTTTCTTTTCAAAATATGCAGAAATGCATGAAATACATGTACAAACTAATAAAAAATCATTATATACCACTCTCAAAATTAATTTCACAATTTGATTATAGTCAAAAAGGAGATATCTCCAGAAAACACCTTAGAACTAAGCAAAATAAGTCACCCTGTAAATGCATCTCTATGAAATTGTTCTAATAATAAAAGAAATTGAAGATATCAATCTATGCATTGTAACTGATTAAATTTAGACAGAATAGCAGTGGGTGGCACAAACTTGCTCAATGCGAAACAAGAAAGGTTTTGCATCTCCAAGTGTCCAGGTTTTCATAATCAAAGTTATTAAGAGAAGTTAAAACTTTAAACTGCAGATGCAAGGGAAACTTGTTACATCCCCTGTCTGAAGAGCTCTGTCCATGTTCACTTAATGCTTTTATTTGATGCCTACAGCAGGAGGAATTTCTTTCATGAGCTCAATTTCCTATAAGCTTGAAACTTCAGTGCTTTTTGGGGCAGGGAGGGGAGAGGTAGAGAAGAGGACTAGACAGGAGAACCCTACAAAAGGAAGCACACCTCTCTGCTTAGCCTGTACATTTCTTTATGCTCCCAGTAGTCTCTGAATTAACTGTGAAGAGGTGGATGAGTTAACGACACAAGGACACTGACCAAGAGTGTAAGTTATAGTCTTCCCAAAATACCTACCTTCTCTACCACATTAGCTTGATACATTTCTCTTTTCCAGAGTTGCATGTTGGTACAAGAATTAGCTATCCCTTGAGAAACACAAAATTGGGTCTCGCATTCCCTAGCTCAATGCTCCGTCAGATCCTCCAGTTTTGTAGTTCACATAAAAAACAGATAGGGAGGGAAAAAACACTGGAGTTCTGTATTACTGCAGTTTGTAAAGTCTCTGATATTACCTTCAGAACAGTCAAGCAAACAAGAAACCACGTTTTCTTAAAGTGGCTTTTCCTGATTCCCTCCTGCCCTGATAGGGAAGACCTCACATGATCTCACCCAGCTCTAGTGTAACAGCCAACAGTGTGCCAGAAAGCTAATGGAAATAAGCAGCAGACAGCATATGTCTCAAAAGTGATATAGTGAAGAAATTAATCAAATCATATTGCAAATTTAGAATTCTCAACTTCAACTGCATGTTTTCTTGATTTCCTGTCTTCAACTCTCATTTATTCCTACTACGTACATGAGCATACTGAATATTTTTGCCCATATAATCTTTTGTAAGCTCTGTAACAACTGCAGCAGGATAGGGTTGATAGGGTTTTCCTTATCTCACAGTTTTTGTATTGCAAGGTAACATTCAAGCTCTGTTTCATTTGGACTGAGAAAGGAGAATAACAATGTTGCAGCAAGAGTAGACTACAGAGAAGAAACCCTAGGGTGATGCTCAAATAAAGGCTTACCAATGTCTGAACAGAGAAAAGAATAATCTTGGTAGATTTTGCAATTGACATTAAGCCCATGAACATTATACCACAAGTGATAACAGCTGTATCTTTTGTAATCCTCCCGAAAACTTGGCTCATGCCAACTGAATGACAACCTAAACTGCAAGGATGAACGTGGGGGTGGAATGGAAAAAAGTACTGCAAAACACTTCACAATTTCTGTCAAGAAAGTGAGTTTGTTAAAACTGATCCCATTTTTACAGGAAGCAGATGATATGCCCCATTTATAACTCTATCAGCTTCCCCAAGCAAGGGTGCTGACCAGGAAGCAACTGAAGACAACATATATTCTCACTCCTCTCCATTCATCCCTCCCTCTCTCTTTTTATTGCACTGAGAAGGAACTTAGTGCTGGCCCAAGTCCCCAGCTGAAAGCAAAAAAGGATGCTACATTCTTTCTTTACACTCCTTCCTCTCAGGTGTATAAATTGGTCAGCTAGTTGATACCTTTCTTCCACTTTCTAGCATAAATTCTTGATACATAGTTTTCTGACCAAAAGGATTCCTGCCACCATAGATAAACTAGAAACAGAAGACATATCAAATATAACATGAAGTTTAAAAAAAAAAGGAAAAAAGAGATAAAAAGAAAAAAAGCAGTGTACCTCAAAGATCACAGACAATATTAAAACCAACTGCAATAAAATGAAGTTTTCTTTGATTGTGAAATGAAGTTTTCTTTGATTGTGCATGTTTTAATTCACTGCTTCTGTTACAGTATTTTTTATTTATCAGCACAGACGAACAAATACAGATCCTTTTCCCATACATTTCTGGATCTCATATTACTTATTTTCTGAGTACATAAAAGTAGAAAACGCAGCCCTAAACTTGTTTCTTTTTTTTCGGTTTGTCACTGAAATTCATAGCAAACTCAAGAAATAAAAATCACTTTGATAGTTTTATGTCCATCAGTCTTCTAGGATTCACAGAGCAACCATCATGTCATAGAAGCAAAAGGGAAAAAAATCAACCTACTTTTAACAGAAATAAATTACAGCTCAGTGCACTAAAAGCCAATGTGTGTTTGCGCAAGTCAGGTAATTTTCTGGATCACCATCATATTAAAAATGTATTTTTTAAATCACTACCTTCATCAGTATTCCAAATATTTATCTTACATGGGCTACACACAAAAATATATCACAGAATATTTCTAACATCTCAAAAAATATACATGAAAATCTGAAACAAGGTCATGTGTATTTCAACTGCCTAAAACAAAGCAAAAAAGCTCCCAAATAAAGTTGTTTATTTCT